CTCGAATACCTCGTCAAGGCCTCATTTGGAATAAATAGGCCCTACCTCCCTCGAATAAACGCCTCGAGGCGTTTCTTTTTTCCAGAAATAAACGCCACCCACCCCACCCCCTTGAAACAATTCATGCTATTAATTTTCAACTCCAGTAGAATTTCATTTCGTCTAACCTGATTGGGATCAATAAATCTGAACACGCAATAACACATTTTGACGGTAATTCTGTGTTGTATTTTAACACTTACAGTGTTGAGTATTACGTGTCCATTTTACACCAAAAAATATAAACGCCGCCCTCGATTAAACACTTCGCTCGAGTAAACCTTGTGGTATATGCACCCTATAGCCCCTTAAAGTGTAAACAACCTCGTATATCCTGATACTATAGAGGAACTTGCCAAGCCTTGTAATAGTTCCCTATAGGCACTCCTTTTCCTCCAAGTCGCTGGAAGCTTCGGCGTTTTATTTTTAGTTTGAACTTAAACAATTTTAGGTAGGCCTACTGATTAACGTTTTCAGTTTTTGTTAAAAATAAATCAAAGAATACATAAATGAAATGAACACAATAATCAATAATTATCGCCTCATACGTTATTTTGAGTGATGTAGATAAATTCGTTGATATTGAAAACATAGGTGTAGACACTAAAATCAAAACATTTGGTCTATTACTGAATCTACTGCTGTATTTAAGGAACCACACTTAACATCATCCTAATTTAATTACCTTTGGCTGTTAAATGTTTCTATTAAAATTATATAGGAAAGGGTTTTTTTTTTTAAAGTTATGATTTTGTTTATAAAAAAAAACGAATGAATAATAAAAACATAAAGAAGTGACAAGTAAATTTTAAAAAGTAAAAAACATCTACACTAATGCAAAATCCAATCATAAATCCTGTGGTAAATACACCTTAGCCCATTGTGTATAAACAACCTCGTATATTCTGGTACTAGAGGAACTTGCCAAGTATCAATCGCTTTCAATTCCCTTAGACACTCCTTTTCTTCTCTCCAAATACATGGAAGCTCTTATTTTAACATACTCGAATGTATTATGTGTTTGTACTGCATGTGCTACCAGAAGAGCCATGTGACAGTAATGTTGCGTTATTTTCATACTTTTTTTTCTTTTTTTTGTTTCCTGGTGAAATAATTAATGATATAATAGGATAACTGGCCTAACAAAAGATTACTGGTTAAAATGTAAATATTTAAGATTTTATACAGTGGACATTTCAAATTCAGTGGGGTGCGTCGCAACCATCTACCCGACCCATATATGGATATACGGGTCTGGAAAACTTTGCATTTTAATTGCCAACTAAATACAGTACCGTATCATATGCTTATTAATTAGACACCGCGTCTTCTCAATTTTTCCAATATTGTTTTATAAATTCTTTTTCCACGTTAAACGCTGTTTGAATTCAAATAAAGATACTATTGTTGTCGTTGCTCTTCTTCCGATGCCATATTCATTTGCATGGCTTGGTAGTCCTTTTTTACTTTTTTGTTAAGATGTATCAAATTCCAGTTTGTGAGTGTGTTGGTAAGTTTTAACCTCTAGGTCCACAACTATATATGCTACCACACCAATAAAGACCTGTTTTTCCATAATATTCGTTAAAATAGTAAATTAATTATTAAAAATGTAATACTACTAGTAGTAGTAATACGTTTTGCTTCAGTGTGATTTTGAAATAACAAAATATTATAAAACTATATGTGGCTTTCAATAAGGTATAAGAATCAACGCACACATCATCCATGTGATCGATTCTTGATTTAAACCATACATTGACATAAGTCAAAATTGAAACTCAACAGTTCACGTTATCACAGTACCGATTCATTTACAGTCCCTTATTAATTAATATTTAGACAATGCAAAAATGTATTGCATTTATTTTATGTATATTATTTGTCTTTGGTTGAGAGGCAAGTAGCATTTCTGAATAAAGGGGAGAGTTAAAGCGACAATCGCTTAATATTTTTAAAACTATTTTTGACCTCCCACCCTGACTTTCGTCATGGCGAAAGTCATATGGTGCCATGTGACGGTCTGTATCCGCGCCTAATTGACATACATTTTTTAAGACTGTTTTCCACTAGGCGAATTTATTCTCGCGAATCGAAGGTGTCGGTTCGGTTCCTGATGAGCTCTAAGGTTGCGCACTCGAACCGACGCTTTCGACACTCGTGAATAAAATTATTCGCAAGTGGAAAACAGGCTTGACAATTCTCAGTCACGCATATGAGCATCTGGCTGTGTGTCATGTATAGCTTTACCAACTTTTATCTGGATATTTATATATTATTAAGTAATGAGATAAATAAAAATAATGGGATTTTAGATAAATTATAATATAATATCTGTAATAGGGCCTAGTGAACGTAAATTATTATAGAAAGAATCCTATTGGGGGTGCTGCGCGTGCATATGTTGCGATCACTACTACGCGAATTACACTGGACGCGCGGACGTGTTCTATTATTTCTTTTCTCGTTACATCGTTGCATCGTCGTCGCTGAATGTTGTGTTTTTAAATTATTATTATAGGCCTATAATAATAAGGTAGGACTAGGCTTAGCATGGCTCTTGACGTTGGAATATCTAATCAGAAGTTCCTCTGTAGCTAGGCCTAGAGGCCTCAGACATAGCCTAGGCCTAACTAGGCCTAGGTTATATTATAATAATTATTAGGAGACTAGCCTAGGCAGGCTAGACCCACACCTAGGGCCCAGGCCTAGGCTAGGCCTACGTACGTACTACCACAGTAATACTGTACAAATAATAATTAGGCCTATGCCTAGAGTAGTGAGGAGAGCAGGACACAGGAAGAAGACATATGGTTAGGGCTCTAGAATAGGCCTAAGTATATGCCAGGTCCACCCTCGCCTAATAATATGATGTACAGTACCTTCTCTTTAAATTAAATCACTGTACTAGGCCTGTCTCTTATACACATCTAGATGCATGGCAAAATTAGGTTATTAATTTTTATTTTTTTAAAAAACGAATAAATAAAATGTCCATCGGTCAACATAAAAGTGGCTGAAATAAAAAATATTATTATATAGGCCTAGGCCTTACGTTACACGCATATAGATTTGGACTTCTACACCCTGATTTATTGTACTTACTCAAAATCAAAAACACTTGGGTAGGCTTTCATAACGATTTCAACATAATTTTTATTCGTTAAAAGTGAATAAATGTCCATTGGTCAACATTAAAATGGCTGAATTAATAAATATTATTACTATTTATATTTATAGGCCTATTTCCGATTGTACAAACTGAAGTTTAATGTCAGTTAACTTAATAACGTAATTTAACCTTTATATAAACGAATTTCCATAGCCTTACGTCACGAACATAGGCCGAATTATAGATTTGCACTTCTACACCCTGATTTATTGTGCTTTCGAAATCAAAAACACTTGGGTTGGCTTTCATAACGCTTTCAACATAATTGTTATCCAATTTCATAAATTAATAAAAAATAAATATCTGAACCAAAATCTGTCATTCCTTTTGGATACCCCTAAAAAGCAACCATCTTATTTCAAGTTACTGTATACAACATTTATCCAATTATACCAACGAAAAATTTACTCCATGGTCAAAAATTATTATTATTATTATTATTATTATTATTATTATTATTATTATTATTATTATTATTATTATTATTATTATTATTATTATTACTCAAATATTAATGTCAAACTGTTAAATCTTATTTATCTATAATGTTTGTAAAAGACTACCTTAAAATCTCGAATAGAAGCCCTGGGAATTCTCTTTTAGGACCATTTGATTGGGCATCTTTTCGAGATGGGCGTCTTTTCGAGATGGGCTTCTTTCCAAGATTACTTTTGCAAACTGAAGAGGTGGGAGGGTGCATCAAAAGGATTGCAATTCAAATTAAGAAGTATAGATTTTCAACCAGGGAATTTAAAATTCTGTTTCGATTATAACTTGATACTGACACGCTATCATAATCATTGAAGATAATGTCAGTCAGAATGTAAGTACTATCTGGAAACGAAGATCACTTGATTAGAAGCCCATGGACTACTTTCACTGGAACGAAAAAACACCAATGGCAAGAAAAAGAGAACAGGTGAACAAGCACCTCCACAAATCTGTCTTACCTGGCACTTTTTCGAAATAGGCTTTTAAATATTTCTTTTGCAAACTAAAGAGTGGGCTTCTCGAGATTAAGCCCATTGAGCTACTTCTATTTGAAGTTTTAGGTATGTACCAACTAACCTCCGAGCTCGCGTTGTCTAAGGAATAAATTGCTATTTCTTACGATAAAACGACGTGGTTATGAAATAATATATCAAGGTATCTTTATTTTCAAAAAATCAAAATATCATCGCAGCACAAAGCTGAATTGAGATAAAATGTACAATAGTTGTATTTTTAAAAAAGTCTTAAAATTACAGGACAAACACAAATTTATACCACAGAATCCAAAAATCACACACAAATAACCAAATTAAACAAGATTATGAAACATTATAAAATTGGAAATAAAAAACCACATACATAGGTTATGATATACGTCATTGCAAAATTATTATAAAATAATCTGCTGTCTAAGGTTAACAGGAAACCAACCAGCGTTTTATTTCTTCGGTGCGCGTGGTGTAACTCCGTATATTGGTTATGAAACCTAGGCACATAGAAACACGGGCAAAGGAGCACTTGGATCGGGACAAGTCCTCACACATGTTTTCATGTAAAACATCTAATTCTGTTTCACTATTCCTGATTCTGCACGCAATAATTTGCCCTTTACATTGATTGGGAAAATCCTTCCATCATTATCACTATTTAATTCTATTACATGACTTACCATAGTATTCAGCTAAGTACTGTAGTAGTAGGCCTGCTTGACATTATTTTTTTTTTTTTTTGCATTAATTATAACTGCCTGTAAAGATAATATTTCGGAAATAAAAGACGTTGATGGGAATAATTTGGATTTTGTTAATTCTTAAAGTTAAATAATAAATTGTTCTTAGATTTTTTCATAGTTTGTTCTTAGAAAAAATGTAATCAATTTATACTTAAATAAACTCTATCCAACGTTAATGTAAGTACTATCTCGAAAAGAAGCCCTTACTATCTTTTGATTAAAAGATCAAATTAAAATTATAAAATAAATTTATATTTGAATAAACACTATCCAACGTTATTGTCTTATAGGTCTTCCTACTAATAGCTGGTTGGTAAGGAATTGCATAGCTTTTGACTTGAAACAAGAAATTGTGATTGACGTGAATATGCCGATTCGTTACTTTCAACATATAAGAAATCGAAGTGTTCAGGGAGCTTTTATCACATTCCTTGTTTTGCTGTTGACGAGATTCTTTCAGGAAATACAAGACATCGTCATCAAAACACCAGTCCTTGGTATGCAAGCAAATACAGTATATTCATTCTAAAGCTAGGCTTTAAGTGAAGTGCTTATTACAAAATATTGGAGGGTTGTATTCAGTTGTATTGTACATGAATATCTGACTTGTTGCTGTGTTAGTAATAGGCCTATTATTAATTCTGCCATCTCTAAATAAGCACCACAGTGCTTATTAGTGAGCGGAGTCTCCGGACCTTAGTAGAAAAAATGAATTTTATGTGGTACTTATTCGAGACCTGCAAAGAAGGCACTCATTTGGACGTTTAAGAATTCTGGTAAAAAAAAATAGATGAAAACCCTTGCCCCTATTTAAATACAAAATATTCTGTACTTAATCTACAGTGTAGGCCTAACTTATTAAAGTTGTCGTAGGTCTATTTCATTGTCCTATTATGTTGTCCAATTTGAGTAAAACCTTATTTTCTCTTTAAAGGGTTGAAGTCAGAACAAGGATTGTTTTCACGTCGTGACGATGTAAGTTTATACGCACGTTTTTTTTTGTTTTTTTTTTTCTTCTAAATTTAAAATAACACATAATATCAGTCTGGATCCCTTGTAAAGTTAAATTCCACTGACAACATCTATGCGCCAAATAGATAAAGCCTGGTTTCCTTAAAATCGCTACACTGTCGCGCGCTACAGTTTTTTGTGCAATGGTTCTACAACGTTGCATTCCCCAACGCAATCGGGAAGGCTCCTCGATTCGACCGACCAATCAGCATTACCGAAAACTGTCGTTGATAGCGTGTAGCGATTGTATGGAAACCAAACTTCACACTATTATTTCACACAGAATTTCTAAACCGATTAACTATAATAAAAACAATAACAATAACATTAATAACAACAACAATAACAATAATAACAACAATAACAATAACAACAATAATAATATTTATAATAATATTAATATTAATAATACTAATATTAATATTAATATTAATAATAATAATATTGATAATATTAATAATAATAATAATATTATTACTAATAAGAATAAGAATAATAATAAGAATAAGAATAAGAATAATAATAAGAATAAGAATAAGAAGAAGAAGAAGAATAAGAATAAGAATAAGAATAAGAATAAGAATAAGAATAAGAATAAGAGGAAGAGGAAGAGGAAGAGGAAGAGGAAGAGGAAGAAGAAGAAGAAGAAGAAGAAGAAGAAGAAGAAGAAGAAGAAGAAGAAGAAGAAGAAGAAGGGAGGTTTTGCAACTTTACGAAAACGACTACGTCACATATACGTCATATTTTCGTTCGCAAATTATAAAAATCCTGTTTCGCACACACTGAAAAAATACAAATAAAAAAAAAGTTACCGCGGAAGTAAATGCCAATAAATATCTGTATTAAGTCGTTGGAAGTTATTCTGCATTTAATTATGTTATCGTGTGAATATTTATATAATTCTATTGTTATAATAGCTTTTGTGTATGCAGCCGTTGCAGTCGTTTACGTTTAGGCCTTTTGTTAGATTGTATAACCAAAGTATACGATCATACTACCTTTCATTATCATATTAATGCAATAATCACAGTGGTATATTATAACTTATTATAGAACACGTAATCATGCTAATAATGGTATAAAGTATAATACCAATATTCAATACTTTAAAATTGATTATTGGTATTGTAGATATAAAAAAAATATATAATAAAATTATATGTATTTCTTATAATTGTGGCAGTAAAGTATATTTTACATAATTATGCTTTAACTACGGGTAAAGTGAACATTTTCTTGAGAATAGTGGGCGTTTAGGTTGCTGTACTATTACAGTACAACTTAATTCATATGCCTAATGTTAGCATTTACTGGTGTTTGTGCTTAAGGCGTACCATATTTTTGATATAATTACTAATCAATGTTTCATTATGTTTTACTTCAACAGGATTGGTTTGCTCATCCTCTTGATAAACACCATACTGAATCTGTTAGACGAAAAGTTGAAAACGAGTCCGCGTACTTCATAGAAAACCCAAATTCTGTAGTCAAAAATTACAATTTTGGCGTCTCCCAGCAGCATAGAAGAACTTTGCTGCGAGATGAGTGTCGTTATCGAGCAGAGAGCAGCAAACCTGTCACAGAGTATCGTCAAAATATTTCGAAAGGTCTCCAGTACATTCTTGTTGTTGATTGTCTACGCTTGATTTTCTGTCAAGTGCGTAAGGTATCCTCCGTCACATGGCGCATGGCATTGGAAGAGGCCTCCGAGAAACTCGAATGTGGATCGGTTCGTCTCTTAGGTTCTTACTCGGATATTGAAAAGCAAAAGATCATACGGGAATATACCAAGGCGATATTCGTTCGTGAACCGATAGAAAGACTTGTTTCGGCTTGGAACAATAAGTTTGCAAAAGGAAGATTTTATGAAAAGCTGTACGGTCCAGTGATAGTTGAAAAGTATCGGAAACCAGCTCTGCCAGACAACCAACGATCTAAAAAGAATGATACATATTTGGTCCGAGAGACTGCCATCAACAAACCTACCTCTCTTAATAAACGTGATGATTCAATATTCTATAATATAACATTCGAAGAGTTTATAAGCTATATAGTCGACCCTGATGTCAGTGTCGCCTCTGGTGCCGATATGCATTGGCAGGACGTAGAGACCAGATGTGCCCCATGTGACATTGCTTATGACTTTATCGGTCATTTTGAAACGAAAACTATTGACGCTCAGGCATTGTTTATGAAACTTGGTACAGAGGTACCTTCTCATTTTCGAAAACATCACCAATCCTTAACAAATAATATATTGCGAAAAGAACTCAAAACCTTGCCAAAGTATATAATTCATAAACTGTATGCAAAATACAAATCAGACTATAGGTTATTCGGCTACAAACAACATATAGGCCTAACGAAACTTTAATTCCAGGTAAAATTCGCCTACTATTAGTATTTTTTGGTTCTAAAAACAAACCTATGAAATGCTTTTAACGAATGGTGCATTTTCATTTACCTTTTTTTGGCGAAGACAATTTTTCATATAACTTTTAAATAATTCACATCGACTTATTATAATTTACAATAATTTTCCATCGTGTCTTGCCCTTTGACTTTCTGTTTTTACTCCTTTTTTAAAATATATAATAGCACATGTTGAACTGCAGTAATTCATTATCATATTTATTTTTATCATAATTAAGGTGTTACAATCTCTTTTCGTAATTTTGTGAAGATAATCTTTAAAGTAATTACAATAGGGTAGAAAATACTACGCTCTTTAGAGTGGAAATTAGTTGTTTGTGAGGTTTTAACAATTAAAACAGTGTATGAACTTGGGTTGAATTCACAATGGATTTAGACTCAGAGGCCTAATTTTATAGATTAGTTTGTACAGAAATGCCTGTCTGTATTATGTCTTAGTCATACCACGTTAAAAGCACCAGTTCTTGTCCGATCACCGAGGTAACCAACGTTGGGCCTAGTTAGATTAAGATATACGGTGAATATTTATTTCATATGTTGTGTAGTTAACAAAATTGAATAACTGACGTATTGTAGTGTTGCTATATTGCTGTATTGAATATAATACACACACTGCCGATGCAATTCCACGAGAGCGCAACGTGACGAGGTGCGTGAAACGGATTGTTTTTGATGAGGATCATCAGATTCAAACACTCACAGACGATGGAGATTCATCAGTCGCAGTGTGTAACCAGCTTCAGACAGTACGGTAACAGTGCAGTCTCCTAAAATCACCACCGAAAATATGACATTTATCAATAATAATAATAATAATAATGTTATTGTTATTATTTATTTATTTACTTATTTTATTATTATTATTATTGTGCAAGTCTTATAACATTTATATATATGTATATATATATATATTCTGTATATATATATATATATATATACAGTATATATACATATTTATGTATATATATATATATACAGTATATATATATATATATATATATATATATATATGTATATGTATGTATATACGTATGTGTGTTTACATATATAATGTATATGTATGTGGGTGTATATATATGCATACGTATATGTTGGCCTATTTGAAATGTCATTTCCTTGTTTCTTGCAATTAATTCTGTAAATGTATTTTTAATGTGTTAAAGTTAAGTGAGTGTAATGTCCGAATTTTATGCCTGTTTCTAATTATTCAAGCCACGTTTATAATTCAATTGCATTGTTTTGATTGTATTTCTTTGCTTCTCCTTGCTGGAGGTTATTTTTGAATAAATGATGATGATGATGATAACACTCTGGCTCTTTTTTCCAGAAAGTTTAGTCTATACAGCACAGTACAGTAATTGAATAACACGTTGTAAGAGTATAATAATCGGTAATGAAATTTATTATTCATAATAAAGGAAGCATTGTTGAAGGAGTTGGCGCAAAGCTATATAATTCAGTTAAGTTTGTATCACAATGAAAACTAGTCATTCATTTTTTTTAAATTTATTTAAAACATATTTATACAGAATACAATTTCAGACAAGGGTAACAGTCTGAATGATCCTGTTTAAATTAATACAATTGAGAAGAGATTTTATTTTAAATATGATAAAAGCTTATTCTACAACACAGAATACATTGAATTTTGTTAAAAGACATCCACAAAGTTAAGATCACAGGATTAAAGGTAATACAATTAATGATACACGTATTAATCAAATATTAACTTCTCGAAATTAACAGCAAAATAATATTGATAAGTATTAACAATACTGAAATTAACAGCAAAACAATACAGATAATTACTATCAGTACGGAAATTAACAGCAAAATAATACTGATACTGATGAGTTTCATGTTTCCTTTACTTGTTTTTGATGCAATGAAGTGATATTTTATGGATAAGTTTATTATAAGTAGGAGTATTTTTATGGATTCTAAAATTATAGCATATAATTATACATAGTTATTCAAATAAGCCTACATATATATATATACAGTATATATATATATATATGTATATATGTATATGTGTTTACATATATAATGTATATGTATGTGGGTGTATATATATGCATACGTATATGTTGGCCTATTTGAAATGTGATTTCCTTGTTTCTTGCAATTAATTCTGTAAATGTATTTTTAATGTGTTAAAGTTAAGTGAGTGTAATGTCCGAATTTTATGCCTGTTTCTAATTATTCAAGCCACGTTTATAATTCAATTGCATTGTTTTGATTGTATTTCTTTGCTTCTCCTTGCTAGAGGTTATTTTTGAATAAATGATGATGATGATGATGACACTCTGGCTCTTTTTTCCCAGAAAGTTTAGTCTATACAGCACAGTACATTATTGTTTTTGATGCAATGAAGTGATATTTTATGGATAAGTTTATTATAAGTAGGAGTATTTTTATGGATTCTAAAATGATAGCATATAATTATACATAGTTATTCAAATAAGCCTACATATATATATATATATATGTATATGTATGTATATATGTATGTGTGTTTACATATATAATGTATATGTATGTGGGTGTATATATATGCATACGTATATGTTGGCCTATTTGAAATGTGATTTCCTTGTTATTTGGGTGCTGAATCACGCAGTTTTTCATACGCGTTAGCCACTTTCAGTAATGTTATTTCGTCGAACATCTTCCCGACTAACATCATCCCGATTGGTAGACCATCTATGAAGCCAGCGTTGATGGACAGTGCTGGGTGACCAGTCAAGTTGAAGACAATGGTATTATTTATAACGCCATATGATTTTGTAATTAGATCTGTTCAGTAAAAAACAATATAAAAACCATTAATTTAAGTGAGAAAACGCCACTCTAGGAAACGGATAGTTAGCTTAAAACAAAATAAATAAAAAATGTTTTAAATGCTGTATTAATAAGAAAACTAAATAAAATACTCTGAATGAATAACAACTCCAAGCCATAAACAAACATTCATTTACAAAATATACAATAATACATTAAATTATTTCATTAAAAAAATCACGGAAACAAAACTCACTAAGATTTATTCATAATTAGAAAATACTGTATCCATAGATTAGAAAAATATTTGACGATGACGAGGACAAAGTAACATTTGTACAAAATTCATTTCATATTGTATTGATATATATAAAAAAAAACTATAAAACAAATAAATACATGTTTAATTATGAAATTATGATTATTGTTTGAAATATGAGCATTGGAGTGCTATTAAACATTTGACTTTGTTTTATACAAATGAAATTTGTTTAAAATAGTACTTTTGGAACATTAAATCTATAATAGATATATCAATATAGAATATAAGCTCATTGGCTGATTGCTAACAAAAAAGGGGATTTAAACAAACCAGTAATAGATGTATCCTTCTGTGGAAGTTTAGATGGAGGATATGGGATCGTTGGCATTAACAGTACGTCAAAGTCCTGGAACACTTTGTCGAATTCGGCGGCGAGTAATCTTCCCAAATTTTGACCTTTCCCATAATACCGTCCATGGTATTCGTGTTTCATGTACTCTCCAATCATCCAACAGAGCTAATGATACATAA